TTAGATTAGATGAATGGCCTGTTCCGTTTTATTCTGACTTTTAGATATTAGACCTGGGCAGGTATTCATGAAACATATTAGACTGGAGTGTGTTTGTGGTCAGTGGTGGTATATATATATATATATATATATATACAGTACTTTGAGGGATTTGGTTCTTGATCAGCATGACTTGTAACCTGAGGGTAGTAAACATGGGCTGAGAATGTACTGTCTGCTGCTTCTACCTGTAAGGAGACCTTTCTGTTCACCTCGGTGAAGTCCACAGACCTCACTCATCTATTATTAAAGAGGACAAATGCAGGCCTCTCACCTCAGTCCATAATTAATCAGTGACTGAGGTGTGCAGGGCCACTGTGATCATGTCAGACAGCGCGGAGCAACTGAGCCCGGTCCCTGAGCGGATGTAACGCTTCTCACATACTCTTACTGTGATCCAGCTCCCACCAGAGAGACAGACACGTAATGCTCTTTCTAGTCTAGGTACATCATGATCCAGATTTCAGCAGTCAGAGATCTCAAACGTCTGTTATTAAATTCTTCAAGAATTACTATACAGCTATACTGTCAGCTTAAATATTATGGAGCTATGATCTAACTGTATGTTTCTGAGATCATGTTAAGACTTCCATAAAATGTAATTTTGAACTCCAATAATTCTTCTGAACAATATATAAAATAATTTATACAATCATTTATATATTTTAAAAAGTCATGGAAAACAGTTTTCCATTGAAATTTCTGTGGTGATTATAGTATTTTTGTTCTGATCTACAATATATAATTTATCTAGATTTTGATCTTGTGTAACTTTGTGAGAGAACGTCTCGGTTACGTATGGTAACCCTCGTTCCCTGAAGGATGGAACGGAGACGTCACGTCGTGACCGACGAATTGGGATATCGCTTCGATAGACCAATCTACTTTGAGTGTAAACTAAACGAGCCAATGCACATTGGCATGCAATTATTGCATCCAGCTGCCGCTGATCACAGCGTGAGTATAATAAGGCAGCAGGTGCAATGCATACCAGGTTTTCGCTGAGGAGCCGAGCCGGCGACCCGGCCGCTCAGCGGTGGTACAGCAACCGTGGCGACGGGACGTGACGTCTCCATTCCCTCCTTCAGGGAACGAGGGTTACATACGTAACCGAGACG